GCGGGGGGCAGTGGGGAGCCCCGCGGGGGGGCCGGCTCCGCACTCCCCCCTCTCCCCGCCCCTTCCCGGCTCCGCAAAGAGGAGCTGCTGCCGCCGCCGTGCCCTCCGCCGGCCCCGGCAGCGCCCTTACGGTGCGTTCCCCGGGGATGCGGGCACAGAAAGGGAAGGGAGCGGTAGTATCCCCGCGGAGCCCCGCATCTTCCTGCCGTTCGTTTAGAGGCGGGTTTCCAAGCTTTCCGCGGGGAGAAGCAGACCTCCGCCCTGTTTTCGCCATCATCTGTCGCCTGCCCGGCGCCTCCGGCGCATCGGTCCCGCTCCCCATCGGTCCCGCTCCCCATCCCTTCCCGCTCCCCATCCCTTTCCCCCCCTCCCCTCCCGAGCGCGGCCCCGCACGGACAAAGAACCGGCGCCTCTCCCCGCACACCCCGCGGGGCAGCACCGGGCCTCCTCCTCTCCCCCGCTCCCGCCGCCTCCTTGGCGTTTGGCCGGTACCACGGGCTGAAATGGCCGAAACCGCCGCTAAATGCGTTTTCCCATCAAAGTTTAATGGGCGCACCTGCGCCTCGGCTGGGCTCGCTCCTTCCCCACCAATTCACCCGGGTGGAAAAAGCAGCCAAAGAGCTTAGTCACACACACACACCCCGACTCCATCCCCCCGCCTTCGGAAAGTCACAGCAAGGACGGAGGGGGTCCCTCTGCCACCCACCCCCCCTCTCCATCACCCCCCGGGCCGTTCCTTACCGGCGATGCGCACCACGGCCCTGTCGGCGGGATCCAACACGGGGCCGCCTTGGATCTTCCTCTTGGAGCGTTCGTGCCTGGAGAGGTTCCAGGGCAGCGTGTCCCCCGGAGCCGGCGACACGGTCCCCGACCTCTGGCTGAAATCTTCCTCGTCGGAAAAATCGGCGGAGGACGACATGGAGCATCGGTAGGACGCGTTACCGGAGCTCTGTACGGAGACAGACAGACAGACAGACAGACGGAGTGAGTTCGGGATGCGGGGAGAAGGGGGGGCTCCGGTATAGCACCGGCGGGTACCCGCCCCGCCTGGCGTGGAAAAGCATCTCCCGGGGAAAAAAGGCGGGGGGAGAGGGGATGCCGCTCACCATTGCCGGGAATTTGAGGAGGGGAGGGATGTTTTGGGGTGACCCTCCCCAAAAGCAGCCGGTCTGTAGCGGGAATGCCCGGGGAGAGCCGTGGCTGGGGCATCCAGCTGGGAAATGAGCCTCCCCCTTCCCCAACAATACACCCGGCAGCAGCGACAACAAGCAGGGAAAAAAAAAAAGAGACAGACAGACAGACAGACGGAGTGAGTTCGGGATGCGGGGAGAAGGGGGGGCTCCGGTATAGCACCGGCGGGTACCCGCCCCGCGTGGCGTGGAAAAGCATCTCCCGGGGAAAAAAGGCGGGGGGAGAGGGGATGCCGCTCACCATTGCCGGGAATTTGAGGAGGGGAGGGATGTTTTGGGGTGACCCTCCCCAAAAGCAGCCGGTCTGTAGCGGGAATGCCCGGGGAGAGCCGTGGCTGGGGCATCCAGCTGGGAAATGAGCCTCCCCCTTCCCCAACAATACACCCGGCAGCAGCGACAACAAGCAGGGAAAAAAAAAAAAATAATAAAATAAAAAAAAACAACCTTCCGGGCTACAAATCCACAGCGTTTGGCTCCCCCGCCAGGACGAAGGAAAGATTTTTTTGCCGTGACCGAGAGGTTTTGGGGGACAGTCCCCCGCCCCCGGGGAGGGAAGGGGAAGAAGGGGCAATAGGGTTTCTCCGAGGGGAGATTTACCCCCGGAGGACAGCTTTTGGTCCCGCTTTGCCAATCGGCTTCGGCAAACAAACGGCTGATGTCGGCTTAAAGGCTGTATCCACCTTCAGGCTTCCCAGCTACCCCCCCAAAAAATAAAAAAAGGCGGCTCGCAGCAATGTAAATAAGCAGTGATGCACTGCGGGGGTGGGGCTGCTGCCAGCTCTGGCTCCCTAAAGGCAGGTGTCTGACCCACAGCATCTCCAGGCCGAGCTGAGAATTTAGGATACGCAGGTTTATCCCCACGCGATGGGGGCGAGGTGCTGTTTCTCTCCTGCGTTTGCTGATGGGAGAGACTTGTGGTTTCTCCAGGGCACCTGACCGGAGAACGATGGGTTTGATGTACAATTTCAGGTGGGAGCTACTGGGACAGTCTTTAAGAAGTGTAACTCAATGCTGGTCCAGGTACGATGGTAATTTTTAGGGGTATGCTATTCTCAGTTTGGAGACACGTAGTATACTTTGTTTTGCAGAGACAGCCTTCATTCAACCCATTCCAGATTCCAGACTTTTTGTCACTAAAGCAGATTTTATTTTAGGCTTGTCTTGTAGCTCCTTTTTTTTTTTTTTTTTTTAATTTAAAGAGGGGCTTTAAATGTGCCTTTACTTACAAAAGAAATCTGTGCTGTGACCGAGAATTGATAAAATGTATTGTTGCTGAGATCTGATAAAATTTATTGTCTAAACCATTTTACTGGTGGACAAGTGAATGATCATTATTACACTGGGGGGGTATTTTATCCTTTTTGAAACACAAAACCTGCATAATGCAGAATACCACTGTGACGCACTATATACTATGAATTAAACTGCTGATAACATACAGTTAAAGAATTGGTTAAAGAAGAGTGGTTGCTCCTCCTGAGCTCCTTCACTTCTATCCCAATCCTGTTTTCTCCTTCTACGGTACTTCATGGGGAAGTTCAGAAGGGGAGAGAAAGGGAGGGAAGGAACATGTCAAACTAATTAACTGAATTCTCGTTTGCTGTATTGCGATGCAGGGAGAGCAAGAGGTAAGCGCGGAAAAACAGAAACATGAGCTGTTGTGATCTCAGCTCAGATTGCCCTCCTAATTAGCTCTAGTGCCAGGAATATTTTGCTGTGGGTTGATACAATAAGCTAAAACTCGCTGTGGGATCTTACAGAGGGATGGTCACAGACGGGCATCTTCCTGCTGGGAGCTGGGAGCGTGGCGCTCGCTGCAGGGCAGGCAGAGCACTCTGCTGTACCAGGTGGGGCTAACGGGGCCCTGATGTGCTTAGTCAGGGATTAGGTTTATTGTGGCCTGTCCTTAGCTCCAGATTTTGCCACAAAAGTGAAAGTGGTCCCTTTAATCCCAGCTCTGAACACCCTGCTTTGGGCCTATATTTTCCATTGGCGGCTCAGCGACCCTCAGTATCTTTGGATCCCACTGACCCACGCAGACAGATTTTGCATTTCAATTTCTCCACCTTCTTCATTTCTAGTTTATAATATGAAAATGGGAAAGAGCCCAGATGCTGTGTTGTGAGGGTGCTGTAGCGGTATTTTGTTAGTATTTATGTAGCAGCTTGGAATATGCAAGGACAAAGTACAATAGCAGTTGTTATTGAAGCTTTGAAGGAAAGATCTCTCAGCTCTCAGATTTATCTTTTAAAGAATTCTGTAATATTTATCCAGCAGCATTTAGCCTTTCTTCAGAAGTAGCCCATTCTTATTCTCTATAGTAACTCTTTCTATAGCTCCCCCTACCCTTAAAAATCAAAAGCACTGTTGAGTGACTGTTCCACATCAACCGCTGGACGTGTTCTCCGTACTCTCTATTGAGATATCAATTTTTAGAAAAAGGAGACTGTCCTTCTGCTCAGCTGTGCCACAGCACCGAAAGATGAGCTATGTGAGAAGACCCCAATCCCATATTCTTGAGAAATCAAACTGAACAGGCAACAGTAGAGCAATCTTTGGCCTCTGTATTCTGAGTTATCCCCTTCTAAGTTATTCTTCTACCTTACCTAATGCACACACTGACAAAATGGATGAACAAACCCCACTTTAGCTTAGTAACTCTTCTGAAATCATGTTATCTCATTTTCAGAACAAAGTAGGAAGCTCAGAAAGGAATTTTTCATAATAGCAAAATGTAACAAACTTGCATCTAAGAAATGCTAACTTCTAACTTGATTACAGTCTACTTTTTTATTCAGCCTGGAGGTGAGTTCTAAAAAATGTGTACACAGAGCTATTGAGCACAGAAGTATTTTTAAGCATCTCAACTTTGCTATTCCAAAGACATTTATGATGGAACTTAACTGCTCTGCTTTCCTTGATTAAATTAATAGCTTTGAGAAGTTTGTAATTGTTCTCTTTTTGCGTAGTTACACAATATCCCTCTTACCCCTCATCCCACTGGATTGTTTGTTTCTAGCGAACACGTTTTCCGTGCCAGAGCTGGAAGTCCCAAATAAGGCCATGATTACAGCAACATAGTAAGGAGTTTAGAAAACACAAAATAATACAGAACATCTGTATGTATCTGTATAGCACATGTGTATCTGTACTATCCTGAAAAGGCTTCCTGGCTGATTAGGACAGGATGTGAAAACAAACAAAAATTATTACATTCCATTAAAATCAAAATATGTAAGACAATTCTGCTATTTTTCTATAAAGCACATTGCTGTATGCAAGTGCAAAACATAACTGTTAATACTTCACAACACTTTTTTGGGTTACATGAGTGAAGTGTCTCTTATATCCACTAAAATATTGATCAGACACATCCTTCCTTAGCCTACTCTGGGACTTAGCAAGGGTCAGGGCTTCACCCTTCTTAGCTTGAAGGCGCCTGTAAGGGCACAGCCCAGATGCTATAGCTGCTTATTCTCTGCCTCTGATTATGCATTCCTTCTGCTCGTTAGCCTAAAGACTTCTCTGTAGTCTCTACTGTCTCTCAGTGGGAACTGTTGCATTTGCAAGCAGTTATGCATGTAACAGCTTGTGCACTGAAGCCTGTTGGTCCTACATAAGCAAATCTAAGAAGAGGGTGGGTTTTTTTTTTGCATTCAAAGTACAGGATTAAATTTAATGCATCTTTTCACCGTCGGTACCACAGGGGGGTGCAAACTGCACACAGAGTCCTCACGGCTATGTCTCAGGAGGCAAAGTGCCGGGGACAAGCATTTAGGAGAACAAAACCCATTCCTGCCTGTGTCTGGGGTTTTCTCTGTAATCAGGTGATTTGCAGCAGCCGCCTGAGTCAGGCTTCTTCGCTATAAAAGCGAGCTGATTTCCAGTAATGAGGGGCATTTCAAAGAAGTATTTAGTGTATTTCTTGTAAGAGGGATTTGGCCAAGTACCAAGGCATCATTTTTCTTTGGTGGGAGGGAAAGAAGGACTGTTTGTCACAGCTGCAGAAGATCAGGTGGAAACTAGGTGGAAGATGGTGTAGGTGGAAAAGGGTATAAGGTAACACACAACAACCTCTATCAGATAAGCTAGCCCTAAATAGGATCTGAGAGCCTGAAGAACACCAGCGGGTTTTGCACTGTCATCCCTCGAGGCGGAAGCATTAGCAGAGGTCAGGTTTGAAACTCGGTCAGGCAATCCAGCTGGCAAAAGCTGCCGAGAGGCTGAAACCGAATTATCATCCCACTGCAAAAATTCCCCACATCAGAGGTTGTGCTGGCCAACTGAATTCTACTCAAATATCTTGGACTTTCACATCTTATCTTTGAGAAGATTTTCCACTGCAGTGAGTTCTTTCATGCTGGTTTATGGAAGCACAGGTCAACATTGACTGAAATTTAATTTGCAGTTTAGTTGTGAGTTATTTATATTTCACTTATACTAAACTATCTTGGAATTCCTGGAATACGTTGCTCACAATGAACAAATATTAACAATTATTTATATTTCACTTATACTAAACTATCTCGGAATTCCTGGAATACATTTTCTTTTCTTTCATTATGTTCATTGCTCACAATGAACAAATATCAACAGAAATAAAGTGTTTGAATCATGGTTTTACTGAGTGTGTTTCAACAGAAATCCTCCTAATTTAGAATAATTTAGAATATTAATTGAATGTAGCGGGCTATTTTTATCCTTTAACATCCCAGATTGAATGATATTAAAGTGGATCAACTTTTAAAGTAAAATAACT